TGACCGCTAGATGTCGCTAAAAGTTACACACTGTAGCTTTAACTCGGCTCCGTTTGTGCTCGTTTGTGCAGCTAAAACAGCTGTTAACTGACCTTTGATGACCTTTACAGAATATTATTAATTTTATTGAAATGATAGCAGTACAAATGAACATTTTTTTTTAAATTACTTTTAAATATCAAATATTTTAAATTAAAAATATACTTCAAATTTAAAAATGCATATTTTAAAATATATGCTTTTTTTGTACTGCTATCATTTTAATGATATTAAGAATTGTTTGTAGAAGCCATCAAAGGTCAGTGAACATTTGTTCATTCAGAAACTCTGAATTTTATCTAAATTATAAGTTGCTGACCTATGATTATATAATTTTAAACTGTAAAAAAATGATAGCGGCACAAATGAAAATTTTTGCTGCACAAACGGAGCCGAGTTAATTGACCCCCATTTCGTCTGATTTGAAGAAGGTGGGGGGGGGGCTGGTTGACCTTTGATAACCTCTAGAAATATTCCTCCATATCTTTAAAATGGTAGCGGCACAAATGAACATTTTTGCTGCACAAACGTTTGACACTAATTTTGTCTGATTTGAAGAAGGTGGGGGGGCCAACTTTACTCGGATCTACTCTATGCGTATTTCCGGTTTGATACCTAATGGCAGAAACTCTGGCTGTAGTGCCGTCCACAACGCCTGGCACACCACAGACACCATCCCAGACACCGTGCAGGACGCTAGTTTGAAGCTCTGACCACGGCCAGTCTTTGGGGAACACTCACGGGTGAACTGTGTGTCATCCGGCGTTGGATGTGGGGTTGTAGACGGCGAACAAGCTCGTCAAACCGACACACGGACACCCGCAACCCTAGATAGTTCCTGATTTTCCTTGTTGCATTGTGGCATGAAATAACATAGTGCCACGCTTCAAAATTTGGCATAAATCGAAAATATTTGCGTCATGCCTGCGATGAGCTAACCTGACTCCGCCAGATGGATTTGCTCCGCATATCCATCTGGAAACCTTCCGTTGAAGTAATTTT